GGCCGTGCGTTTCCGGTTTTTACCCGACATTTTACAAAAATTGCAGTAATAAATAAACAAATGAAACCGGCTCCGATAGGTAATTCGATAACTTATAGTACTGCCAGCTCTAGCTAGTAATCTAGCTGTTTTTTTGGGGAGGAAATCAATAAAAAAAATTGTTTTACAAATTACAGCTAATTTCTTAGCAATAAATAAAGGTCAAAGGGGTTTTTGAAACCATAAAATTCACGTAATTAAATCACACTTTTATTGAAATTTTTAATTTAAGGCTGGTATTTAATTCTACAATTAATCTTGACGGAAACTTGCGCCGAAAAGTTCTTGAGCCTACTACTTTAATATTCACATACATTATTGTAAAGCAGCAGAAAGTATTTTTTCTCAAAAATTTTGTTTTTCATATTTTACAAAATCCAAAATAAAATCTAGCTATTTTTAACCGTTTGACCGCTTCCAGCTAAAACTCTAACTGCCAGCCCTGTTCGCTTAACAGCTGTTTTTGGTTTACCATTCTGTGAATTGTAAACTGAATTGAATTCACCTCAATTTCGGGCCATGTCGCGCCAGTTGAGTTTTAATCCGCGAAAGGAATACGAGTTGATTGAGTATCCCGGCAGGGTGGTAAATCCTGATCGGATGATAGCCACTTTGGGCGGCATTATCAACGTGTCCAAGGTAAATATTGCCATCTTGTTCTGGCCACTTGTGCTGATCAACTTAATCCATTTCCCCAGGTGCTTGGCGATGAAGTAAAGCGTTTGGCTTTGCACTTCCACCCGGAGAATCCCTACAACAAACCCACTTTTGGGGACTGCACGGATAAAACAGGTGTCCTGCTCTCGATAACCGTGAGGCGTCACAAAAAGGACAAACAACGACCACCTGAATATTTTGTACGCGTTTTGGGACACTGCAGCAGGAGTTTTACCTTCGAAAGTGAGTTGCAGTTCGGGATTTAAGACAGAATAACTATGCTAATGTATTGTTCATCCTCAGCGCTTTGTGATTTTCAATACCTGCCTCTTTGGTCGACACCCAGAAGTGACAATGCAAACGCTGCCCAGGAGCTCACATACGCTTTGGATCAGTTAAAACCAAAGGACACCTCCGATTTGGACTTTTTCAAGTGAGTAATTTCTATAAGCAACTAAGGAAATTAATTTTAATTCTTTAAATCGATGTTTACAATTATGTTTTCCAATTCCGGCTGTTATTTTTAACACAAAGCCGTGAATTCTTCAGATCAATAGAAACCAATTCTTAATTATTACTCTTGGTCTATCTATATTATAGATTCTATAAACTAAGTATAGGATTATATTCAGATTTAGCAAAGACTACTTTTGAATTCCGTTTTTAATTGCTAGTTAAAAGCTCGCAAATTCTTAAATAAGAATAAACATTGATGGCTTGGCTTCGCTAACAAACATTGTTATACAGCATTTTTAATCCTGGTGTTATTTTCCCACAGACGACGTCATAATCAGGTGTTTGCCCTGCCCGAATTGTTCACCCACGTGGACGTGGTCTACTCGGGCACCTATCGCATCGATGGCACGGAGGATGGTCAACACGAGGTGCTGGGCGTGCAGTCCAAGTCCACTTACGACAACCAGGGCGTGGTCTCGTTCAATATGGTAGACAGTTTTCCCACCCAGGCGGACTCCCAAAACCTTAAGCGCCTCAAAGTGAAGTACGTTTCCGATGAGCAGTTGGCCTTGGTCAAAAAGCTATTCGATGACTGCCCAATTTGGACCCGGATTGCCCTGCAGTATGAATCCGGGCTGACCAACGACAAACTTAAGTGCATCACACCTTCCCTGGCGTTTTACTTCAGCAACGGTCCGTGGCGGACTTTATATGTACGCTTTGGCTACGATCCTCGCAAGGATTTCAATAGTCGCTATTACCAGACCTTCGACTTTCGGCTGCGATTCAGCACTGGACTCTCGGAATTTGTGTATGCCAAGAAATTCGTGAAGCAACGAAGGGCAGCGAATGTTCCCTTCGCTCCTATCGAAGATCGCGTCTCCGATTTGGTCCAGGACATTGACTATCCCTACCTAGATGAGCACAAATTGCCACGTTCTCGGCAGTGCATGCTGCGTTACTGCGACGTCCGAATGGCAAAGATCCAGGAGATGCTGGAGAAGATTCCCACACCGCTCACCGGTGCCGTGTGTAATGAGCGCACAGGGTGGCTGCCACCAGGATTCGATGCTCAGGTGCGGCAGATTGTCTGTGCCAGCATTAGCGAACTCTTGCGCAATCATTATCGCAAGGAGAATCTCACGGCCGAGGTGGAAGCGGTTACCCAAGCCGACGAAGAGGAGGAAGACGACCCCGAGGACGAGGAAACGCAGGAGGAGGATATGGAGCTGGAGGAATCGCAGGTCATGAACAACTCGGAGCAATTCGTAGACAACGACATCGAGCAGCTATTTGATAATATCACAAGCTGATCACACTGACTGAAATGATTGTAGCATAAGATAGTTAATATACTTACTACTTTTAATAAAAAATAAAATCAACTCTTGTCTTTCGATGTTATGTAGCTCTTTAATAATTTTTATTCATTTAAATGAAGCTTAGGCCCGGCCTTTATCTTGGATAGTTGTTATAAAGATAATTGTAATAAATTTCATTCGCAATAGCAGAAGCTAAAATTATGCGTTGCAGGATGTTGTTCAACTGTAGTAAATGCTGGCTGATGGAAATGCTACTCCTACCCTGCTTAGGGCTTGCATCTGTCGAGGAATCGGGGATACAGGCAGACCTCTCGGATGTGGTAGCGGTTGAGCAGCCAGCAGAGGAAGCGCTCCAGTCCCAAACCATAGCCGCCATGGGGCAAAGTTCCATAGATGCGCTGGTCAGTGTACCAATAGTAGGGCTTAGGATCAATACCTTCGCGTGCATAACCCTTGAGCAGCTCCTCGCTGTCGTAGATCCTCATCGATCCACCCACAATCTCGCCCACATTAGGCAGTAGAACATCCACGCTTTCGGTCAGACGCTGATCCTCCTTGCAACGCTGCATGTAGAAGGACTTGATCTCCGCTGGGAAACGGCACAGCATAATGGGTTCGTTGATGGTATCGGTCATCTTGCGCTCCGGAGCCTCGGGAATGTCCTCGCCGAACTCGTAGAAGGTGCCGTCGTCTTTGGTCACGTTGTTCTCCTTCAGCCATTTGATGGCATCCTCGTAGTTCATGCGACGGAATGGCTTTTGCGGCGGCTTGAAGTCAGGGTTAAGCTCCTTGACCAAGTAGCCCCAGGGGGACTTCAGAACACGATCCACCACATCGCAGACCAGATCCTCCAGTCGATCCAGAAGATCATCGAACGTGATAAAGGGACACTCGGCTTCGACGTGAGAATATTCAGCCAAATGCCGACGGGTGCGACTCTGCTCCGCGCGGTAGCTCTGGGAAATGGTGAAGACATCGCCCAAGGCCGGCAGGCAGGTCTCCAGATACAGCTGCGAGCTCTGGGTGAGGTAGGCCTCCTCGCCGAAGTACTGCAGCTTGAAAAGCGTTGAGCCACCTTCCACCTGGGTCTGCACCAGAGTGGGGGGCGTCACCTCGTTGTAACCTCGCGCCTCGTAGTGGGCACGGAATGCTTGCGTCACCACAGATCGCATCTTGAGCACCTTCGAGGTGTTCTCGCCACGGATCATGATATGCCTGTTGTCCAATTGGACATCAGGCTGGGCTTCCTCGTTGAGAATGGCATCGGCACCGCCGGGCGGAGCCAAACCAATCAGTTCCCAGTAGTCCACGTTGAGTTCATGGCCCCCAGGAGCGGTCTTGCCTTCTGGCACCAATTTCAGTGTGCCGAACAGCACCACAGAGCTCTCCGTGCTCAGGGTGAGGGCATCGTAGGTCTGGCAAAGCTGATCGTTGAGGACACACTGCAGAAAACCGGTGCCGTCGCGCAGGGTGATGAAGATCAGGGATTTGCCCTGACGACGCAGGCGATGCACCCAGCCGTAGATCTTGACACGCGAGTCTCGGTTGGCGGTGCCCTCGAGGATGCGAATTTTGCGGGCCACCGGTAGGCTGGCGTCCTCCGTGATCTTCACCTTGCGAGCCTCCTCGAGATTCTGCTGGCGCTTCTCCGCATCACCGGCCTCGCGTTGCTGCTTCTCCGCGTTCTTGTGCGACTCCCGTACGAACAGTTTCTGGATTTTCTTCAGCTGCGACTTTGCAGCCACTTCGAACTGCTCCACTGCATTGGGATCCTTGCTGTCCACGTAGATGGTAGGAAAGGGCTCCTTGCCGGCATGACGCATCGCCTGCAGGATGGTCTTGAAGGGCTTTGACTCACTGCCATCGCCCGACTCATCGCTGCCCTTCTTCTCCGACGTGAAGATAGCACCTGCACATGGTCGTACATATAAATATTGCACATTATAGATCGATACTTTCAGCCGACTGGCAACGTGGACGAAACAGTTGTCCCATTATTTTAGTGATAAGCGACATTCTTACCCAAGGTTAACTCAGCCAACTGGTCGGCAGGCATCTTTGTTGATTTGTGACTAAGATTTTTCTGAGAATAGGCCTTAAATCTCGTAAATATACGCACAAAATTGCATCAGACAACTATGCCAAACGATACCTTGTGCCGGATACTCGATAGACCGATTGGAACACAGTGCTGCAAAACACCGATTGTCAGCAAAGGCTATAAATAGCTAGACTTTTAGGCTTGTGCGCCAATTTTAAACAGCTTCAAATTAAAGGAAGTATATTTTAATTATTATGTAATTAATAATACAAATTTGAGATAATAACACTTAATTTACTCTTGCCCGTAGTAGGGGGTTTTTTATTAAAACAAATAATTTAATGTAAGATATTTAGACAGAATTTAACCTATTACATAGTCCACATCACTTTTGTGCTGTTTTTGGTTTCAGATTTATCTTTGTTGTTAAAAAATAGCCAGCTTTAGCTATAAAATATCGTCAAGCTTCAGAGTTCTTCCTGCTTATCGATATTTGTGGGTGGTATTATTTAGTACATTTCACCTTGGGAGAAAAACGTAAACAATTTGGAAAATAGGAAAATGGCCCCGGAAAACAGGTGATTTTCGCTACAGAGAGCCCGAAAATAAGAAAACTTTATATCTTAAAGTACAACCTGTCCCTATAGGATCAAAATCCTTCCCAAAGCGGTGGTTTGCGAGGAGAGCAACCTGCGCGGTGACATCACCTTCTCGTCGGGCTGTGTGGTTCATCCGAGTGCCACTGTTATTGCCGACGCTGGACCCGTGATAATTGGGGAAAACTGCATCATCGAGGAGTATGCGACCATAGCCCATCGCTTGGAACCAGGAGCAGTGTGGGATGTAAACAACATCCTAAGCATTGGCACCCACAATGTCTTCGAAGTGGGTTGCCAAGTGGAAGCCTCCAGGATTGGCGATAAGAACGTATTCGAAAGCAAGTGCTTTGTGGGTGGTGGAGTTACCATTTCCAGTGGCTGCGTGGTGGGGGCTGGAATCAAGATCCATACTAGTCAACTCCTGCCGGAGAACACCATTGTATATGGCGAGCAGGGACTACAGCGGGAGGCCATCGATAAACAGGGATCGCAGACCCTGCAAATAGACTTTCTCCGCAAGGTCCTGCCCAACTACCATCATCTCCGCAAGCCCAACTACGATCCCAAAAAGGCGCGCAGCGTTGTCTAGTTAGTAGTCTATATTAATATCAACCTTCATGTATTCTCCACCTTCACGGCATTAAAGTTAGACATCTCCCTTTCAAAAGTAACGATTGTATGATCGCATAATCCCTCCAGATCCTCCAGTCCCCGTTTGAGAATATCTATGGCCCTGTCTCGATGGGATTGGATGCGGAAGTGCAGCTTCTGCTCGGTGGGATGGGGAATGGTGTAGCCACAGAAATCCACCTCCGGGTAGCGGGCTATAATGGTTTTCAGCGCATTTCCCAGCGTGTGGCCCTCGTTGGCAAAGACAAACGTCCGGGATCCTTCGCCGTTCTTCTCATCGCCAGCTAGCTGGTGAAATATTAATTGTTAATAAACAGTGAGATTATATACTCTTCTTATAGGAACCTCTGCCAATGCTCCCATTTTAAATATAAATTAATGTTTCTTCGATTGGTTTGTTTACAAAAAACGTGCAAGGCACATGCCGTTACAATCGATGGTTGGCCTATCGATTGTCTGTCTATCAAATAGCTGGAAATAGCTAAAATTAAAATTAATAAAAATGGCTAACAGCTAGAAATGGCTAAAAATGTTTCTTTATTCAATTTTTAATTTTTAGAGCTTAGAGAAAAAGTCTAAGCCAGCTAGTTGTACATTTTTAAATATATGATAAAGGATTAATTTAAATATTTGTTGTGTAATTATGCTTTATTTATTTCATACGCTTTGTGAATATTTTAGATATTTTTATAAATTTGAAAGCCAATTAATCATTAATCTTAATCAATTTAAAATTTAAGTTAACTTAGCACCGCGAAAACTATCGATGTCAGAAAATCTCATCGAGCTATCGATAGCGCCGCGGTCTTTCCACCAGCCCTAGTTCTTGACGCGTTCTGACACGGACGCGGTTTTTGACTCACAGTATTGAATTTGTGTGTGTTGTTTGTTAATTCGCCTCGTTCTGTGGCCAATTTTGTTGGGGGCCAGCTGCGAAATCAGTTTTGTGCGGTGTGGGCCAAAAAGAGAAAAAGTGTCGCAAACAGCCGCATTAGCATAATTGCATGCCGCCTTTTGCTTAAGTGTGTGTGCGCTGGTTTGTTTGAAAGCATCAGCAGAAAAGGCGGCAAAAAAGAGTGGCACAAAGAGGAGGGAAGAAAACAAAAACAAAAAAAACTGCAACGGCAAACATAATCATTTTCGCAATGCATTCAACGTGAAGTTGCTCCAAAAACACCGACAGTCGGCCAAAAAAAAATCGCATACAACGAAGAAACGGCACTTCACGTTTCATGCTTTTTTGCATCAGGAATAAACTGCAATACAGGTTTGTTTCAATGTGCTTATTAATAATACCCTATAAATAACCTTTATGAAAAGCACCTAAATGTCATTTCAATTTTTATTATTGGCCACGCCCCCTTTCGGTCCCGAAAATTATGCAAATTCATCCATCACTTCTTTGCACACACACAGGCGCAAAAAAGGCAGCTGCCTCTGCCGCTGCGCAGTCGACGTCGCTGCCCGCGAAGGCGGAAGTGATGGCTAAAAAATACCAGTTCAGAGGCTTAAGCTTTAGCTTTATCGTAACTTCGCCAGCTGTTCTCTTTTTTTGCTGTAGATATTGCCGATACATTTAACTTTGGTACACAAGCAATGGCTGAAAAACCTAATTAGCACACTGCATTTGCGTTGACAGTCGATATAAACAATTACCCGTTTTTGGATTGCATGAAAGTTGGTATTTTTGAACCCAATCTGTTTAAAGAAATTTTGAAAACAGTGATTTACTGTCTTAAAATAGCCGCAGCTTTTAATTTCAATTTGTCGCAAATGTATAGGGTCTAGTGTAAAATAAATTTTTGAACAAAAATTCCATAACATTTTTTTCCAATGAAAAAATCAAATATTATTTGCACAGCTTTTCGTTCAAACTGAATAAACAAACGTCAGATTAGAAATAAAAAAAATTTCTGTAAATAAAAAAGAACAATACTTTGTTCACTTTGATAAATTTGGAAGTAGATATACATAGTTGTTGAATTTTTATTTGAAATTATTAAAACAGTAGTATTACTGTTTAAATAAATAATGAGTTTGAAAATAAGATTTTATTTATATTAAAGGAAAAACTGGAATCTTGGCCAGTATATGTAAAGTTAACAAGGCAAGTCTGTTTTATGGAAGATCCTATCAGGACCTTATATTTGTAATCTTGAACTTGCAGAACTTGTATGTTTTTTTCGATCACACCTTTGCCATAGCTGTTAGCCGGTGAACACTGTATTTTATTTCCACTGGTTGCTATGCTCCCTCTTCCCCCCTCCCCCTCCTTTTTGGCATCCTGCTGGCTCCTTTGCGCTCATTTGTTTGGTGGTTGCTCGCACACACATTTGTTGTTGTCTTTCGGTGGTGACTAATGCGGCAGCATGTTCCGTTATCTCATGCGTTCCCCCTCCCGGCGCCCACGCGCTTTCAAGCTTGTGTTGTAATAATCGCTTTTTGGGTGCACGTGTGTGTGTGTGTGCGAGTGTGGCTCACGTTTCGTTTGGCGCCATGCGTTCCCCCCAATTTGCAGTTGTTGCAATTTGGTCTAGGCTGCGTTCCGTTTCCATTACGTTTCCCCTGGGCGCCCTTTTTTGCTGGTTGTTTTTGTTTTTACATGGGCTGCAATGTATGTATGTATATTTCAGTGCCGGCGTTTTACAGACATACTTGTGTGTGTGTGAGAGTGAGGCAGCTGCTCTCTCCTGGCCGAAAAAGGGGTTCGCTCTCTCCCCCTCTCTCTCTCTCCTGGGGCAACTCTATTCTTATTTTTATGGTTTTTTTTTGAGTTGGCAATTATTTTGGCTTTGTAGTGGTTACAACAAATGCATTTAATCGTCACGATCGTTGCAAAAAAAAAAGGAGAAGAAAAGGAGGAAAGAGAAGTGCGAAATGGTTCTGGGAATACGATACAACAGGGAGTCTCGTTGGGCCCGTGTAAATAAACACAAACATACACCGATATAAGGCCCTGTATATAGGAAAAATAACTTCCCTAGCATTTACTCGCGAAACTGATTCGTAAACAATTTCCGCACGCGTGTGTAATATTGTACTCTAACTTACAATAAACTGAAAAGAGCCAACCCAGCAGAAAATTCACATAATAATAATAATACACAAACCAAAAAATATTAATGTATATGTATGAACATATGATCTATTTGATAGCACATCCTTTTGGATTTGTTAATGTTAATATAACCTAATGTTAATATAAAAATATGAAGTATGGCATTTTATTAAAGTAGCTGATTATTGCCTCTTTTGGTTACCAAAGTTAAGTTTTCTACGCCTTTGTTTTCTTTCTGTGTACCTACAAATACATAAATGGCAAAGGTGGATTGGGAAACGAAGTTGTGAGTTCTCCCTAGAGTGGAATATCTTTCACATTGTCCCATGAATATTGCACAAGTCTACTAAGATACAAAATACCTGTCGGGATGCTGAAACCCAGAGCTACAGTGGTGTCGTATTAAGAGAAAACGTTCTAAAATAAGCAAGCATATGTATTCGATTTGTAAAGGAAATTGAAAATAAGATATTCATAGGGTGTTTCAATGAAAACACATAGGGTTTTGGGCAATTATAATAACACTTTGCAAAAAAAAAATGGGTAACTGAAATTATAAAACAATATTAAAAATGCTCGCTTTTCTTTTCGGAGTGCCCACTGTGCTAGAAATTTCCAAGGATGCTGCAGACATCGAAAGCCAAACGAAATGAAATAAAATAAAATACACAGACAGTTTGGGGGGCCAAAGGAAATGGAAGGTGGAGCACGAGAAGGAGGGGGCAAAGGGGAGCCGGGTTCAACAGCAGACAAAAAAGGCAAAGTGGCAATGCCACAAGACGAAGAAGATGGAGAGCACAGAGCACTGAACGGAGAACAGAGAACAAGGAACAGACGGAAACACGGACACGACAACGTGATATTCCAACATCCTGTGCAGCGGGTCACGAAGGAGGTGGGGAGCGCCATAAAGCCGGAGAAGACGGCGAAGCAGGAGGCGGAGGAGAGCAAAAACCTGTCATCTGCTGCCGGCTGCATTCGATACGGGCCACGAATAGGGGGAGGAGGAGGTGGAGAGAAGAAGAGGAGACACAGACGCTAAAGGATGAAACTGCATTTTTAGAATTCCCAAAATCAACATAAAAAACCAAGTAAATGAACGATGATAGCCAGACAAAATACACAACAAGAAATTTTTTAAAACTATAAAGATGAAATTCAGTTTAACATTTAACATTTAAATTTGAAAATTATATTTACAATATTGTTGTAATTTATTTTAAATTTAAATTTTTTTTTTAAATTTTGGAAAAAGTTTTTTAAATATGGTTAATATTAAAATGACTATTTGTTTCAGTGTCAGAAGAGCAAGTCAAAAGGAAGCTGAGGCTAGCGCCTCCCCCTCCCTTTCTTCTCTTTCTGAATTTCTATGTATTCGTGATCGCAGCCCAGACGCAGCAGCAGCGACGCCGGCAGAGAGCCATAAAACAAACAAAACCTTCACATGCATTCTTCTCTTGTTTCGCCTTTGTTTGGGTTTCCTTGTTTATCGCCTTCGATATGGTATCAGAATTTTGCAATGTTTAAAAAGGATACCAGGCCGTAGATATTTCAGCAGTAATTGCCAATCAGGGAAATCGGTATTATAAATCATATATCCTTTGCTATACAGCTGCCGTTGTAAGGACCGAGGTTTTTTATATTCAAATATGCATCTCGAGAAAACAGAACTAATCATATTTTATGGTTTTTAAATATTTAGTAAATATGATTCCCCAGTCCTAAAAATGTATTTATCAGGTAAATTATAATACCAACGAATGAAAAATATTTCTTTTTATTTAGTTAGTATAAAACGAATAGCTAGATACAAATTAGTAACTTCGGAGCAGCGATTAGTTTATTAAAATAAACTTTATTTTTAACTGTTAGGAATATTTAACATAAAATTGTTAGAGTCATTAAAGAAGCTAAAGCCCTCAAGAGTCTGGCTAAAATAAAAAATGCCTTACTCCTGTGTGTTGAGCCTTGGTCCCAAGACATACATATGTTTAATTCCGGAATTCAAAGAGTTGCTTTTGATTTCCGGCCTGTAGTTTCAGGTGAATAGAAAGGGAAATGGCAAAGGGAAAAGGGAAAACCAGCAGCTTTCCTTGTGGTTCTCAATTGAAATGCACATTTTAGCCGTGTATTATCTGTACATTTTTTAGCAGTACGCTCGAAGGGATTTGCATAATACGCCGTAGAGCAGCCGTAAAATGTGTCCGATGCCGTCTGTTGCCATCGCACATCGCACATATTGCTGATGGGTGTTGATGTTGCTGCTGTTGCTTTCGGTGGTGGTTGCTGTTGGCCTCAAAGGACTCGCATCACATCACATCCCCTGTGTGTCCTGTGTGTCCTGTGCCTAGTTTCATTTCATTTTCGTTTCACTTTTTTCCCTTTTGCTCTGTTGCTTCCCACTTTTATTGTTGAACTTTACAGCTGCCGCTTTCATTTTATATTTTACTTCATCGTTTTTTTTTTTTTTGTCCAACTTGCATTTTTCCCCTCTCGTTGTGGCTTTATTTTTGGCAGGGGTGGTTTTAACTTATATGGAACTTACAACAGCATTGTGTATGCGTCTGACTTTGATCCCTTTTCCGGGGGGTGGGACGACCGGTTCGGGCCCTCTGTCGTCTGGCCACCCCCTCGGCAACATTAGGGAAAGTGTCTTGCAAATAAATAAATAGTCATGTCAGCCATATTATTAATGCCCCGGATGGTTGGATGGATGAATGGATGGAAGGAAGGAAGGAAGGTAGGTAGCTTAAGGTCTGCGTTCACATGGGTGGCTGGGTGGTGGGTGACGAGGGGGTGGCCTAATCAACCCTCTTGGGCTGCCGGCGAAGAAAAGGGGAACGCATCTTACTCCGAAATACAGGAACACCAAATACAGTAGGCACTCTGATTTAAGAATTTTAGGTTATCCAAAATAGATATAGGATTTATTAATACGAGGTCTGGTTAAAAATATTTGAAAAACAGCCCCGTTTCAGTTATAATGGATCATAATTAAGATTGCTAAAGTTAAAAAATGTTCTTTATAAGTATATCATAAAATATATGGTTATTTAAAGAACTTTGTTTTCACAAACCCAACGTATAACAATATGGGTATTCCCTAAACTGTTAAGTTGCTGAATTGTTGAATTTTGATCAGCTGTTAATCAGCTGTTCCATACAAAGTCAACTGTCAGAAATTCTGTTCTGGACTCAAAGTTAGAAGG